CTAGAAAAGAAGATTACTCTGATATTTTAAAGGTATGTTATCCTAGATTTATAAAAAATAGACAGGACTCTCTTAAGGTAAAAGACTGACCTTTCCTAAGGAAGCTATAGGCCCGGGACATGACTACTCACATGGCCTACCCAGTTATGAATTTACGATCAGACCACCCTATGTGGTTGCTTTTGCTCACTGAGCTTGTCAGGCCTGCCATGTGCCCACACTCCCCCCCCTCCCGCCCCCCGCTGTAGCTTGTGAGGTTTAGTATATGGCCCCCTTTTTCATTCACATTACATAGCATTGCATTTTATGGGTTATAAAATAAGTTCATATACATTGAATCACTTGATCAGTTTGTTTACTTCTTATAGATCAGACTAAATATTCTAATTCTATTTAAAGTGTTTGACTGCTAATATGCAAACTGGTTTCCTTGGGAGTTCTGAAGTATGGCCAATAGAATATATCCCCCATCCCATATTGTTTTAGTTGCGTGGGACCTAAATTCTGACTTAGAGAGCATGTCCTTCTTTTATCACTAGTTCCATAGAACTCCCTCTTAAAAACTTAATTGATTCTTAATTGAATTATTTTAATTTTTGTTAGATAAACTGGGAATCCTTTAAAAACAAAGGCTTATCAAGTGCTTCATTTCTGCCACCCTTGGTTGGTGAGGGGCCACAGCATCACACAACTTCATGGGGACCCTTAAGCTTTGCACTCTATGCTAATGGTGTCCCCTGGAATTGTGGTGAATATAAAATGTTTCGGTTGAGTTTCTTATTATTGAATCTCTGTTTGTTTTCTTCTTGCTGTTTGAGCAGCATTTTAGGACCCCACGGACTCTGTTTGCCTTGTGCTCACATTATTAGGTCTTTTTGACTACTGTATGTCACTTTTTATTAGCACAGCTGTGTCGAGTTGCTCCTAATTCCATTCCGCTTCATCCACCCTCTTGGCTTTCTTCCTTAGCTATTTCAATTAGTCTGTCTACTGTTCCATTTCACTTCATTGACATCAAACTTGTATGATGATAGCAAATGAGTCCCTGTTTTCAATAGGCAGTTACAAGTACTCTTTGTCAGCCTGATCACTATCCAGTTGATGAATCCGTCAACCTACAAATGGTATCTGTCATTCAGAATTCGAGCCTCACATTGTGGTAAGGTTAAAAGATGCAAATGTGGCAAACTGCTGCCATTCTGGCCGGTTTGCCAATCCAGGGAGAGTATGCAAATAAACTTTAATTTGGGGAGCAATGGAAGCAGGCAGAGGCAGAAATTTGATTCCAATTTTACTGTGTATAGATTATTTTAGTTACTTAGTTCATCTCACAATGAAGACATGTTCTTCTAAATTCATCTGTGCCGGTGCCCTGCCTTGAGCACATCACAGTTATAGAAAAACGAACAATCTAGGTTATTTCATATTAATTTGCTTATAATCCTGAATTTGAATGGAGATGTATTCATAGAGCCCTGAACTCTGAAAACAGGCCTGCTTTGATTCTCTTAGTAATCTCTTTTTCCTCCCTTCCCAGGACAGTTCAAAGTGACTAGAATACTGCAAGACCTCTTAACAGCTAGCCAAAAAGGGCTGTCTCCAAGCCCTAATTGTGACAGCCGTGTCTACTTTATTCTGTATATAGTTTATCAAGTTTCTTTATGTATACTTAAAAATTTTAGTGTTATTTAATGCCTATAATTGCATATTGTGCTGACTGCTATATTTTCATTTTCCTCTTTGGAAGTTAAGAATCCATCAGTTCATAATCTTTTTTAGCATTTGGTTTAGTCTTTTGTTAGTTTCCCCCAAATTGCTTTTCTGCTTTCAATCCTGACTTACTCCCTCCAATGCTCAGGTTAAGAAGAATGCTATTTGAGCTCAGTTTCAAATTTTTCTGTATTGACAATCTGTTTACATTTTCCTTTTGATTGCTGCTCCATTGTTGAGGCTGAAGACTGACCTCCCTGCAGTGAATGGTTACGTGGGGGATACGTGCATTGTATTGCTAGTCCCCAAAAGCGTGATTAGAGGAGAGGGGTGTCTTTTTTGTTGTTGTTGTTGTACTGCTTACCAGCAAGAAGGTCCAGAAAACAGGACTTCTCCCCAGGAATTCAAAAAGCTAAAAGAATGCTCTGGATCAGATGCAAAAGTTTCAGCATTGGATGTGGGGGTGTGAAAGGGAGCCCCGAAGAAAATTTAATTTTCAGTCTAAGAAGCCTAACTCACCCGAACAATTTCTCCTAGAGTAAGGCCCTTTCCAGTCAGATCTGTTGGTGCTATCGAGCTGGTATTTCAAGTATGTCCATCTGCATTTAAACGAATTGCTCCAAGACAATCTGATTATGCGGTAGTTACTTTGGTGAGAATAGCGCCTCAGTGGAATGGAAACTTCATTTTGAGTCTAATATTAGACCTTGCTTTGGAAAATTCCTTTTAAATGATCACAAGCTGGGAATAGCAAAAGAATTTAACTTTCGACAGACAGCATTGACCAAGAATTTTTAACTGCTTATGTTTGAGTCCTTGGGAAAGCAGATGTGAGAAACTGACCAGACCAAATTGACTAGACTAGCGCTGACTTGACCCGATGCGGTGTTTATATCTATTGCTGATAAGTTTCCCTCCTCTCTCATTTGCTGAAAATATTTTCATTCTTTGAGCATGAGCACGCTAAGGATGAAGATTGTTAGGATGCCTAATTGTCTAACAATCTAACCTCCAAGGCTTCCAGACATTGTTGCCTGTAAAGGGGGTCTGAGACAGAGCAGGAAAGGGCCAACAGCCCTACAGAACCAAAGGCAGTTTCTGAGTGAGTGCTGGGAACATGATCAGATCTGGCCTTCGGGGAATATTTTAGTTTGGCTGGTTGCATCTGAGTGAACTGGCTCCACTCACAGTTTTAAGTAAACTTCATTTAAAGGACTCCCCCCACCCCCTCCTACTCCCCCCCAAAAAACCACCCTGTGATTTAAGAAAGCAATTAACATGCATGTTAACTGATTTTCTAGACTATGTGAAATTTCTAGATGATGTCTGCTTGGCTTAACTTAAGGATAGATTTCAGATGCCTCACGTGCCTTGAATTGGAAACCACCAATATTGGTGTGAGAGATGCATTTAATATCTTAAAAGATCTTTCTGAAGTTGAAATGCATCTTTTAATCACAGTGTACATTTAATGTAGTGTTGTTCAGTCTTTCTCTCACTAAGCCGGTAATAAGTTGATGGTGCCTTAGAATTGAGGAAGAATATTAATAAATTAATAGCAGTTACCATTTATTGATCACCCGGTGGATCCCAGGCCCTGTCTTTGCTCTGGGTAACCAACGTGATCTCTGATATTCACAACAGTCCTGTGGGCAGCAGGATATGATGAGCCTGCCTTTGGAGGCAAGGAGACTGAGGCTCAGAAAAGTTCTGTAGTTGCTCATGATCACACAGCTAGTAATGGCTAATGAACTGGCAATGCTGAAGTTCCCATCCAGGACTGTTCGACTTCAGAGCTTGTGTTCTTCTCGGTGGTCACATCTTTCGATATTTACTGTGTTTGAAATTAAACCTGAGAAGTTTAAAACATTTACTTATTAATTCATTTTGAAAGGACAATAATAAGTCCATTACATGTTAACATAAATAACATTTTTATTAAAAAATTACTATTTTCCAAAACAAAAATAGTAAGAAGTATCACTATTTTATCTTTTTTGCATATCTCTTTCTTATCCAGCTAAATGGAATGCAGCTGGATTCTCTTCTTCGTTCAATCTGTGCAGTGTATTGTTTTAGTGGAAATGTGTGAAGAAAACCTGGCCTCACACAGATATGTATTTGGAAAGGGCTATTTTAATAGCCTTTTTGGATAACCATGGATATTCTCTTTTGGTGCAGTTACATTAAAATCCTTTGGTCTGAAATCTTTTTACAGAAGAATTCTGAATAATATATGTAGATACTCACCCACTCCAGGAAGTAGAGTTTAATTCCTACCAAAGCATAGGATTAGGGAAAGGGGAAAATGAGTAACTTTCCAGTGGACAAACCTGGAAACACCAATTTAACCGAGTGGTAAAGGTGAACGCCGCCTGTGACGTCACGTGCCAGCAACTGCTGCTGCTGTTTTCCTTAATGTAACAGGCGCGTTTTATTCATTGTTAAGAAAATGTGTGCCAAATATCGAAATCCAAATAATTGTGCTTTGTCTGAAAATCATTCTTTCAAGTCAAATTGATGTTCAGTGAAAAAAGTGGCTAGAAACAATTGCACACGTGCTTCTCCTCAAGACACTATCAAACTTCAGAGTACAACACAGTGTTTTATGGCATTTCCCATTTTGTCACGTAGAATATTGAAAGACAGGTACTTGGGGTCAAGCGTTAATGAAATTGATAACGTTCACTGCTTCATCAAGGATATTGTTAGGAGAAACACCCACCCACCCCACCCCTTGTGCTGTGAGTATGTGGTGGTGGAGAATCCTGTGGCAGTGCCCACTGGTACAGTTTGCCACCACTGCCATGTGCTCAGGTATCTGCACCATTGGTTTAAGTACCAACACAGTGTAAAAGGCCAGGAACATTTTAGTGCTCTAATGAAAAGAGTTTGGCTTCGCAGACCTCCTGTGAGAGGGCCTTAGGTATCCCTAGGGGTCCACCAACCACATTTTGAGAACTACTCTCCTAAAGTAAAGTGGTAATTGCTAAAAGGTCACAAAGGAAGAGCCGACATTACTAAAGACCAAATCCATTAGGAAACAAATGGTGATCTGGGGGCAGCACAGTGCATGTAGAAGGTGACATTCTTCTGGCTTAACTGGTCTTGCCTTTGATGGCTCATGAAGCTTTTCCATGTCTGTGGTATTTCCATTTTGAAATGCTGAGATGCAGACATTGATAATCTGGTATCTGTGTTTGCTGCAATTTCTACCATAATCATATCTAAGATTTTATTCAGGAAATGCAGAAAATTGCTTCTTAAATTTTGTTTTCTTTTTTTTAAAGGTAAATCTCACCTGGCTATTGTACAGCGAGTAAACAATGAGGGAGAGGGGGATCCATTTTATGAAGTTCTGGGAATTGTCACCTTAGAAGATGTGATTGAAGAAATCATCAAGTCTGAGATTCTAGATGAGACAGACTTATACAGTGAGTAGCATTGTGGAGTAATTTCCTCAAATCTTTGCGTTTTGGGTCACATTGTTTGGGAATCACCTGACACCTCCCCAGTTGTTGTCTGCCCCTGTTTCTAATTGTGCAGTGTGTGTGTAGGGTGTATACAACCTATCCGTGTATTCCAGTCCCGTCACCAAGGGGAAGAAGCAGAGGCCTGTCCTGTAATGTCAGCGGGCCATGTGTGTTTTTGAAAAGTCAACTGCTTCTAACAATTGATCTGGGCATTACTTGGCCCTGAACAGCCAACTCCATTCTTGGTTTTTACATTTATTTTACATGTGGAAAAAGAATTAATTCTTCTTTACTAAATTTTCATCTTACACAATTAGGTAAGTTGTTTTCAGAGAAATTTCTGTTTCTACTTAAGGTCATAATTCAAGTACTTAAAAAGTGAGAAGGATTCGTTAAATTGATGGATAGCAACTGTTTATTTTTCTTGTTCCCATGTACCAGGATAGAGGTGAGGTTTGCAAGTATAGTTTTTCTGGGGCAGCAGTGGTGAGGTGGGTATAATGAGAGGCAGGACAGGGTGGACTACACAATAACAATGTGTTTTTCCCCTTTTCTGCTTCTCTGCCTTCTTTGGGAGTGGGGTGGGGTGGGGGGGAGTGGACTGGACCAGGGCAGGGGAAGGGGAGTATCCACACCTATTTGCCCAGTAGTAGGCTAGATCCTGGGCTGAACATTGAACCTGGATCATTGGACTTAAACTTTTCTCAGCCTCTCTCTTAACGAAGGAAGACTTTTTCAAGAGTTTCATAATGCCAAAGGTGGCCCAAGGGTTGAGAAGTTTGGGATCTCAAAAGTGGGATAGAAAAGAGCCTTTGGGCTCTGTTTATCCTGTTTGGCTTTTGAAACAGAATTTGGAGGGGGGAATGGACAAATCAAATGGTTGAGGGCACAAGGGACAGAGCCTGTCTTGCTCAGAGCAGAGTGATTTTATTCAGTTCCACTAGAAGGGAATGTCCCATGTTTTAAAATTGAGAAAGTCTTTCATGCACCCTTGAAAGAATAAATTTTATATTTAGCCAATGATTTGCTTCTGAAATATATCTTATTTTTTTCCTCACATCTGTATAGTATTCTTTAAAAATAGCAGTTCAATGAGTTTTATCCTTTTAACACTTGGAAAGTAGTCAGAGGTCTCATAATAGAGAATATTGTCATTTGTGTGTTTATGGTTTTTTCACCCTTCCTCACAGTGACTATTTAATACCAAGTATGTCTGTGTAAATTTGTTTCCCTAGGGACAGTACTCATCATAAGAAAGATAATTTAGACATTTATGAGATCTTATGTTTGCACTTCAGTTCTTTCAAACCTTGATTAGACGACTGATTTATACAGAAGTGTTGCCTAACGTGACTTACTGATATGAAATGCTAACCTTTTGGTTTCTCAGGGATGATGACTGTTTTTGTCATTAGAAAATTATTTTTAAATTTTGTGTTGATTTACACTGTCTGATTCTCAGAAGAATTTGAAATAGAAGAAAATGACAAGTTGTGACCCTCTTGTCTCCCCAGGACAAGCCTAGTAAGCAGCCTGTTTTGCCTTAGGCATGAAATGGTAATGCAGACTCATGGTTCTTGGGAAAAGAGCAAGGGATGGGGCCTTGTCTTTGACCTAGTTTTTCCTTGATCATCACTTTATCCAGAAAAATACTTGAAGGAAGGTTTTGCATTAGACACTTTCTAGATCAGGGTTTGGTGAACTACGGCCCAAGAGCTCCTGCCACCTGTTTTGTGTGGCCCACAAGCTAAGAATTTAAAAATCTTTGGGAAAAAAAATCAAAAGAATAATTATTTTGTGACAGGCAAAAGTGATATGAAATTCAAATTTCATGTCTGTGATAAAGTTTTGTGGGGTTTTTTTAAAGATTTTTATTGGGGAATTTGGGGATGGGAACAGCACTGGGGAATTGGGGGGAGGGGAACAGACAAGTTGCTGTCGTTTTGTTCTTCAGTCTAGTTGTGGAGGACGTCGCTTCACTGGCCCAAGTTGGCACCATCATTGCGCTTTTCTCGGGAGAGGCAGATCAGTTGCTGGCTTCTGGACGGCCTCTCATGGTGGCTGCTAGCCGCTCACGCTGGCTGCTGGCCGCTCACGCTGGCTACACACAGTAGCCCATGGCAACCCACTACAGCAGTGGCTGCAGCCTACGCCGTTGACGGCGACTCATGGCAGCTCAGCTCCAGGTTGAGCTGTTGTTCAGCATCTTAGCTGTAGAAGGCAGTGTCACTGGCCCTCATATGTGGGATCCGAACCGGAGCCCTCTGGCGTCCCAAGCCAGTTCTTAATCAACGCGCCACTCAGCCGGCCCTGTGATAAAGTTTTATTGGAACATAACCATGCTACTTCATTCGCATATGGCTGCTTTTGCTAAATAGCAGAGTTGAGTAGTTGCGACAGAATCGACATGATCTGCAGAGCCTGAAATACTTACTCTCTGGCCCTTTGCAGAAGAAGTGTGCTAACCTCTGTTCTGGCTCACTTTCTTTATATTCATTTGCTTGACCTTGAAGATCTCCTGATCTGAGGTAGAAATGAAGCTACCAGATGTTACTATTGAAGTATTGTTCTATGAAAATGTTTTGTTTGTTTCTTAAGAGATTTTGTTTTGTGTTTCTCTTTCAGCACAGGCTAGGAGCCTCTTAAAGTCAGGGACACACTTGCCATGTGTCTTCTGTGGCACAGTGATTGCTTGTCACTGCGTGTGGTGACGCTGAATACCGGGAGACTGAGCGCATGCCAGGCTACATCCTCTGTTTCTATGTGGTTATATAGGTTTTATGAGGGGACCGTTTTTGTCCAAGGCTGCCCGTTACTGTACTTGTCAGGACTCTAAAAATCTTCATGAAGTATGTTTATAGTTGCTGCTATTCAG